TCCGCTCGACGTCTTCGACGGGTGGGCGAACAGTGAGCAGACAGCTCGACTTGGCTAGGTGGGCGCTGCTGACAGGCGCGAAGCTCTTTGGTGCCCCCCGCCGCTCTTCTTCCTTTGCAGCGGGGCCCAAGGGGCGACCTCACAGGAGGGCGCGAGAGGCGCAGCCTGCGGGAGCGAAAGAGCGGGAAGAGACGGCGGTCAGGAAGAAGCCGAGCGCGAAGCAACGCGCCCCCTTTTTCACTTAGCGCGCCTCCTTTCCCCACCCCTGCCCGCCTCGCAGACCTCTTGGCAGCTCACCCTCCCCTTCCCCGTCCCCCCTCTGTGGTATGAGGGGGCGAAGGAAATAAGCTGAGGCGCTTCGGGGAGCGCCTCGCCGCTTCTCTCAGGCGCGCTGCGGAAAGAGAGAGCCAGACGGGGCGGGCAGCCGCGCCGCGCTTCCCGCCGAGGCTGCAGAACAATTAATGACAAAAGAGCCTCCCGTGGCTTCCGACCAATGGCCTGCTTAGTCCACTATCCTCGTTCCCACCGTGCCACGCACAAAAGAGCCCGGTCAAAACATTCTACGCGTACGTGTATGTGCGAGAGAAAGAGCGACCTTTCACGGTTGCATTCACAAGACAATGACATGGAGGGGGGGTGCTCTTTCAGTATCCCATTCCTTCCACAATTCCTGTTGTACACTTTGGAGAGCAGGGCTTGAAATGCAGGCATTTTAAAAACGAACAAACATCCATATTGTCTCCTTAATGTGTAAACTGGCGAGTGTTTAGGAAAATGAGGCACACACGCCTGAGAGTAAGCCCCGTTAAATGTAATGGCACGTCTGAACAGAAATGTATAAGATTGAGTTCTCCAGTAAATCAAGTTAAAAAGGAGAGAACTGCCTGGAAGGTCCCTCAGTATGTCCCTCTTCTCCACCCCCCTCAACACACACCGCAAACCCCAGTTGCAGACTATTGGGCTCCATACACTTCAGAAACTCCGACCTCTCGTTTTTTGACACTGTCGCCCTTGTAAGCATCTGCTCGCATTTTATCTCGTCCCGAAGCTCTTGAAACGTTTAAGAGGCATTCTGTTCTGCCGGAACCTCACTTTTTAAAACAAGTGGCTAGCTCATTTATTTTACTTGTAATTAAACCCCTCTGCCTGCAAATCCAGGGCGTCGGGGCTTTATTCCCACCACTCCAGTCCCGACTGAATGCAACCAAAAGAGCTCTTCTTTTCCTGAATTGGTGATAAACTCTGCCCCAACTTCCACTCTCCCCTCCCTCACGAATGCTTTGATCTGCCTGCCTGCCCAGTTTCGGCAAATGGGTTCAATACACTATCGGAGGGAGGGGGGAGGGAAGCAAGCTTTGAAATCCCATTTGCGAATTCCGTGGGACTCTTTCTAAAAAGTTGAACATCAGTGGACCGTGACCGTCTCCAACTCCCCGTCCTCGTCCTCGTCTCTTTTCAAAATCCCTGTCCAGGCGATATCTCTCCTAGTCCTGCTGGCTTTCCCTACCCGATCTTCATCTGCCTTTTGCAAAGGATGACAAGAAAGGAAAAGGAAGGGTGGGCATCGATTACCTGGAAGGTCCATGCTGGAAGAGAATCGGGCTCGCTAAGGACGCTGTCCGCGAAGTTGTATTGCTTGGAGAAAATGAGCCGAGATTAGGTTGGCAGAAAGAAGAAACAGGATTCGCCTCGTTCTCTCCCGCCCATTGCCAATAATTCTACCCCCCCTTTCCTACTTCCCACCCTCTCTCAGACACATTCACGCCCGTCACTGTTTCTCACACCAGATAAACTCCAGCGAGATGCCACCTCCGTCGCCCCCCACGCGCAAACACACACACACGTACATACCAACCATCCGTGCCCTGGGCAGCGCCTAAACACAGTCTCTCTCTCTCTCTCTCTCTCTCTCTCACTCACTCACTCTCTCTCTCTCCACCCCCTCCCCCCTTCAGATCCAGATAACAGAGACAACCTCAAGCAGAACACAGGCTAAAAGAAGGAAATCCTCTTTTTCAGCAATTAAGGAGGGAAAACAATTTAAAAAAAAAAGTTAGGTCCTCCCGAGGAGAGGCACAGTGAATCCTTCTGCTCTCTAAAACATACGCAGTCCGAAAAACTAATATAAACAGATCATCAACATGACTATATTGTCCCTCTTCATGCCCACCTCAGACTACGCCTAAATACCAAGAACAAAGCGCCGGCAGATGCTGGAAAGAGCTGGATCTTTAGGTTTCGAAACGATCGGGGTTTGCAGAAGTTGAATTTCTGGGCTGGACAAGGATCTGTCCCTTTAAAACGTCAGGACACAAGGGCTGTTGAACACAAGTGCCTTATTAGCTTGGACTCCTGAGTCGCCTTCATTATTTTATTCCCCCTCCCAGGAAGAACAGATCAAGCTACAGCGGGAAGAACGAGGTGTACGGGGATGGGGGAGCGGGAACGGGGGGAGAGGCGCAGTCCGCGGATGGACCTCGGTGAATCCCGGTAATTCCAAAAGATGGTTGCAGAGTGACACCTAGCGATCTGCGTGGCTTGGCCCACCGAAGGCTCTCTCCTGTGGGTACAGTATTTGGAAATGCAGGAAAGACCAGACCCTGTGAATGTGGGTGGATTGTTTGGGTTAAAGAACGCGGGATTTCCAGGGAGAGCGGGTGGAGGAGGATGAACTTTCAATTACGTTCTCATCCCCTCCCCCACCCTCCCCCTTCCTCCCTCAATCTCCTCCTCCTTCTCCATCTACAATCAAGGGAATCCTGCCGTCGCACATCTTTTACTGCTTTAGGAAGCCCGGTGCTGCCATGATAATATATACTGCAGTCAAGGTTATCATCAGTTATTATTGGCTGCCAAAAAAAATTCTCACAGCTCCGCTTGTACAGCTGCTGCTGTGCCGAGTAGTTAGTGCAGAAAGGAGAACCTGGGAGATGTGCTTAAAATATCCTTCAGCTATCCAACCACTTTCCTGTTTTTTTGGGGGGGGGATTGTTTTAGCCACTTTTTAAACCACAACAAAATACCTGATGTTCTCCTGAAAGACAAGCATTGTTTTTAAATTGACCAATACCCATTCCTGATTAGGAAGAAATATTCTTTAGGTGTCAAACTTTATGTGAAAAACAGCAGGAAAAGAACAAAAGGAAAAGATGGCAGCACTTTTAGACTGTAACACATTTATTTTAGAGTGAGTTTTGTTGGTGCTATCAAATTTTTCTGACAAACCGAGCACCAATCACATGGGTAACATGGATTTGTGTTCCATGTTTCAGAAGATGTGGGTTGCACCCATTAGAGTGCACAGATAAACAAGTTTGTTAGCCTCAGAGGAACCACAATATTTCTGTTTTCTCTTTCTGTTTTTGTTGAAACAAGCAAAATTGTGGCTATCTCTTTGAAAGCTTAAACTGAGGCAAGATGAACGTTGCTTTGGAACTTTGGTACAGTGTAGGAGATCAAGCTGGTCATGGGAAAAATAATAATAAAGACAGTAATTGAAAAGGGATAAATCCAGGATTTGAGGAAAACTCTTACTAAATCTCCTTTCCTCTTCTGAGCTTTGTAGGGAGGGAGCAAGCAAAAGAAGTACTGTAGGTGTTCCTACTTGCCTTCTCTTACTCACCATCTCTGAACTGTTAGAAATAGAAAAGCTTGGGACTCTGTATGCAACTGTGTGCCTACAGGAGGCAGCAGGGAAAGGTACTTTGGGTATCCTAGCAATATGTTCCTTTTTTCTCTTTTATGTTATATTGCTTCTTTGCCTACAAATGGAAATATTAATTTTTTGATATTATAGCATTTTCCCTCCAGACATACGATTTCTTCAGATTACAATTAGATGTATCAATGAAGTCCCTATTTGCCTTCTGACAGCCAATCACAAAACACAACCAAGTTAGTTTGCAAAATACAGACTGAGGCAAGTTTATGTAAGACAAGTCTGGACCTGAGATACTCAGGTATGACCTGACTCTTGTTCTCACATAACCATGGTCTGCAGGCCTCACCCTCCTCTATCTCTCTGACATATAATTCCCTTCCTGAATAACTTTTTTTCCACCTAAGACAGTCTTGGATGCTGACCCCAGACATCCAGCTTCCACAAAAAGCTGACAGGAGTATGGCAGGGTGTAGCTGGTTCAGAGCTCTGTATAGGAGAGAACACAAAGCAGTCACCTCTTCTTGACAACATGCCTCTAAGAGGTCAGATGCACAAACAGGAGAATGTTCCAGAAAAAGAAGTAGGTCAGCAGCTGGAGCAAATGCCAACCATCACATGCCAAATCTAGCTGGCAAGAGGAAAACTAAGTGATTATGTGGAGTCAGGAGTAGCTGCTGCCTTTACATGATTGCCCAACCTCTCTTTCAACAGAAAAGACCAAGAGATAGTTACCTCCATCTCTGATGGCCCACTTCCTCTCTTTCTCTGCTGTCATAGAAGATAAGAGGGGCACAAGGAGGTGGTGGATTGTTCATTCATTTGCTCTCTTTGCTTGCTCATTCATCCTCTCTCATGGGAAGATGTGGAGGATTGGGCAACATGGGTTCAAGTTTCCACCACCATACTCCTCAGAAGGAGAATGCAGGTGAGTGAATGATGGGATTAGGTGGTTGCTCCTTCAGTGATCTATATGTTGCACTTCCCAAAGGTTGACTAGTGGTCTCTGCTCCTTTTATCCCCTTCTGTGCTGCCTTGCAAGATTACATTTTGCGCCCAGTCCTTCCTGTCATAGAGCCCAAGGAGAATGATGAAATCAGATTGCCTTTTCATACCTGTGCACTTCCTAGAACAGTGGCTCTCAACCTAGGACTAGTTCAGATCTTCTTGGACTCAACCCCCCAGAAGCCTTCACCACTAGCTGTGCTGGCCAGGATTTCTGGGGGTCGTAGTCAATGAACATATGAGGACTCAAGGTTTAGAACCATTGTCCTAGAAGTACCAACATGCACACTTCACTGAAACCTAGAAGTGACAAAGTTTAGAGGAGAAGGTACAACAGAGTGGGGGTCAGAGTACCTATTGTCTCAGGAAGATTCCTTTCCCCTTATTCTTTGACACCTCTGTTGAACAAGGAAGGGGAAGGGTTGAGATATTGCCCTTTACTGTTCGATTGTTCCACTCCAGTCAATTAACCTTAAGGTTTTTTGTTCTGTCCTACTTTGTTCCCCATTATGCTTGGGCATCTGGGATTGTTATAAATAAATATAATTTACTTTCTTAAGTAAGTAGGATTGCAGAATGTCAAACATTTGAGCTAAATGGAAAGAAGTCAGTGCAACCCACTGAATTACAGAGTGACAACAACTTGGAGTGCTTTCAAATGAGGTTTTTTAATTGAAAAATTGCATTGCCTTATTCACAACGTTTTGTGAGGGATGTCTTCCGTATTTTCCAAATCTGAACACTTCTATCTTCCTTTTTTCTTACAAAGAGAAAAAAACCCTGCTGCACAAAGTAGTTGAGGTCTCTGGCTGTGGAGCCAGAGGATCTGCACAAAGTAGTTGAGGTCTCTGGCTGTGAAGTCAGACGATGAGAGTTTGATTCCCCACTGAAACTCCTGGATAGGGGCTGGACTCTGTTATCCATTGGGTCCCTTCAAGCCTATAGTTCTAAGATTATTATTATATTAAAAACTGTTTTAAAGAAGGAAGGATGGAACTGTTGTATAATGCATCTTAATTCGCAATGTTGGTAGCTACTGGCTTGGAAATATACTTGGTGTGTTTGGTAATAAAAAATGCAACAGAAGTGATCCTTCTTCTTCTTCTCTCTCTTTCTCCTCTTTCTCTCTTTCTCTCTTAGAAAATAATGACACTGGCCAGAATCTTGTTGGTTATTTCAGTTGCCATATGTACAATGACGGACATTATGGTAGAAAATTGCCCCAGTTAAGGAGTTGCTGCTTGCCCTGCTCAGCACATGTCAAGTCACATGACTGGCTCACTATGAGAAGTATAAGCAACAACTCATTAAATACTGGCAATTCACTGGTGCAATTCATGGCAATGCACTTAAACAAATATAAATAACTAGGATTCTGGCCATTGTCACAGTTGCTCTGTTCATTTCTGTAGATGCACCAAAAGAGACAAATACATTAAATTATATTACATTCTTCTAGAACAGCATTAACCCCCCTCTGGGTGCTCTTTGGAAAGTTCAACTACAAGCCCCATCATCCACAGCCAGTGACTCCATTGACTTTGCTGGCTAGGTGAATGACGAGCATTCTCCAACACATCTGGAGTGCTGCAGGTTAGGAAAGTCTGTTCTAGAAGCTTAATTCTGAAGACCCTTCAGAAGAGGGTGCTACTCAGATTCACCAGCTGGCCATTTGATAAGTGCTTGAGCAGAGTTACACAATACCTACAATACCTGTGTAGAACTGACTAGAAGTGATCTAATTTTAATTAGTCTTGTTACTTTATCACTAATTTCTCAGTGTCTGAAGAAATAACAAAGAACAAGATTTGCTCACTAAACCACACAAAAAGTCCTTGCCTTTAAGAGCCTACAACCTAAACATAATACCAAGGGAGATGATACGGAGTGAAGAAGAAAATAGAGACAGGGTAAACAGGGAAAGAGTATATCATTATCTCCAGGCTTATTCAATCAAAAAATTCACAATGCTTCTTCAAACTCAATATGGAAATGACCATATAATATGAAATACATTCAGCAAAACCTTTGGAATGTATGTATTCCACACAAGAGACACCAATTGTTTGTAGTAAGAGACAGCCATACAATAGGCATGCTGGTTTCTAAAAAGGCCATCTTAAGATGACTCTTGCAAGTAGCTGATTTGGAAGTTGGTGAAAAATCACAGCACTCCAAACAAGAAGGAAGAGCAGAGGGGACAACAAAATACATTCCAGAGTCCATGTCATCAAATCCACTTCATCATATGCTGTGCACATGCATTATCTTCATAAAATGTAACTCCACTGAGTTATAAAATACTGGTTATTCTCGGAGGAAATAAATATTGAAGGATCTGAAGGAGGGAAGTATTAGAAAGCATTTACTACTTAGGCATGTTTCTTTAAGTGGCAAAGTTCTGCAGTAAAATGTGAGTCAGAGTAAAAGATAAAAGAAAATGGTCCTTTACCAGTAGATCCTTTGGATGAATAACTTCATTGCACCAAACTATTTAAGTTTTATTGTTATTGGTTTTTCAGTATATTGGACAGCAAGTAGTGGTATATTATAGTCTCTTCCCTAACATGCAACAGTAAAAAGGAAGAGTAGTGGGAACCAGAGAGGTAATATGTTGTAGATTTCCACTGCATTTCTTTGAGGTTAGGATTATTGCTACACTGGCAAGCCTGTGATGAGAAAATTTTGTGCTGGGATTGCTT